ACAGATTCAAAGTATCCTAAAGAGAAATTTAAGAAGTGTTTGGGCAAAACCCTTTGCCTATGATGATGGTATTTCAGGATAGCAATTAACTGCGACCTTCCTAAACCACCCCTCAGGGACACTGTCAAAGGTAGAATCGTTGGTGGCAGAGTCCATGTGACTGACTTTAGGAAGTATTTCTGACAGAATAAATTGTATCCCAGAGTCTACTCCCTACTTTGTAAAATTAATGATGATCCAGACTTCTGAAGGTCTCTTTTGCTGAACACCTTCCTGGCCAGCAATTTCTCCAGGATTTAATCTCTCCAACTCAACAACAGGTAATTAATAACCTTCCCTCCTCCTTCCTTTTTTTCTGTTCAAACAAGAACAACAAAATAACCAGCTATGATATCTAAGGATTTGCTTCCCATTCTTTTTTCATTAATCTGTCTTAAACTGATCCAAGTTCTCTGAGTGAAACACTGGTGTTTACTGGGCAATTTTATCACCATTTACCTATGTGGGTATATTAAAAATCACATACCATTACCAGCACTGATGCTGTAGTAACAATTGTTAATTCTGTACCCTGAGTCTGTAGTGACTCACTATAGCATATGTTTTTATTCCCACTGGAAAATAATAGCCTTTGGCCCCCTGGAAACACACTAATAACTGGACATGGATTCTGAATAATGGCACTATCACCACTTCTCACATAAACTTGGGGATGTTGATAGAAGAGGGATTATGGAGAAGAATTGACTAAGAGAAGAAAGATGTAGCAAGAAGTGGATGGAAAGTAAAGACCTGAATGAAAAATGGTAGTGAGAGGCCATTCGTGACCAAGGAAGTACCCAAGAATAGAGCTAAAAAGCCCATTTCTTGAAATAAGGTTCTGGGGGAGGAGAAACAAAGGGTAACTTGAGCAATTGTTTGCTTCAGCAGGCACACCCTCTTTCTCCCAACTGAGACTCATGTGTCTGGTGGAGATCTAGAACTTAGCAATAGGTGCAGGACTCAGTGTGATGTACTAAGAAAAGTAATGAACTTGTTTGGTGTTGGTTGTGTGACTTTCAGCAAGTTATTTTAACTACCTAAACCCCAATCTTATTATCTATAAAATAGGGATGATGATAATTTCACATGATCTATCTTGCAGTTGTTTTGAGGAAAGATTTTTTTTTGATAAATCTTAAAGTTTCTACATAAATATGAGTTATGATCTAGAGTCAGATGTCTATGGCAGGGAGGATTTAGAATCAATGATCTAAAGCAAGGACATTCATACTCCTGAGATTGAGTGAGTGAGAAGAAAGAGCATGGAGAAGGAATATTGTTTGGTAAACTCATCCTACTTAAGCCTACGTGAAGCTACCTTTCCAGTTGCTCTAATTTCAATTGAATTCAATTCAGTTCAATGCTACACCCCCCCCCCCCATTTCTCCTTTTCCTGGTCAGGATGAGAGGTAGAGAGTAGTTCTTGTTCAAATCATCCAGATTCCTTGTCCCTTTCCCTACCCCTGCTTAAAACCCTTCCTATTTTCTCCTTCCCTGGGAAGGGCAGGAAGAACATATGGGGAGAAACATGAGTATAAAGATCTCCAGAGAGGATTTCAACCTGAACAAGGTGGAGGCCAATCTTATTAAATGCCTCTGTGGATTGCCTCATCTCTGGGTAATTAGGTTTGGGGAGAGAGAAAGATATCCAATTAGTGTTGCCAATTCCTTGTCTTCACACACAGGCTGTTAGCAGTGAGTGAACTAGTAAAAGACCTCAGTTATAACAATGGTTTTTTTTTAGGGGGGGTCTCTGTGTGTGAGGCATGCTGATTTAATTTATAAAAGTAAATATAACTGAAGGCAGAAAGACCTTTGTTTTTTTGCCTTGGGCTTTAGATATTCCAAATCTGTTTCAGCAAAATTTAAGCCAAACTTAGCCACTGAATTTCCCAGGAAGATTTCTGAACCACTCCCCTTCTTTAATCATGATGCCACCCCCACATGCTGAATATACTACTACATGAGCTGTATGCAAAGGGATACAGTTGCTATAAAATTAGTCAATTGGCACAAGGCTCTCACACCTACCAGCAAACCTTTCTAAGAGTAGGCTTGGAAGCTGAAATCACTTTCCTGATTTATCACCTCATTCTGTCACAGTCCCTAGTCTGCACAGGGTTATCATCATTCCAGCAGAGATTCACATTTAGAGAATGAGTCACTGTCCAGTGCAACTAAGAAAGTTAAGTAGTCATAAGTTAACCACAGAAAAGGTTTCTAGTTTTCCATTGGTCCCCTCTGGAGTTGTCTGTCCTCTTCATTACTTCTTCAGTGATACAATATAAATGAACCCAATAAACATTTTTATTGCAAGACCTTATTATGTTCGAGGGACTCTGAATGTCTTCATGCTGGTAGCTGGTCAACTATAAAGGAGGAAAGCAAGACACTAAAGAACCACAAGCCAGCAACAACCCCAGGAATGTTGTTGGAAGCCCCAAAAGTTCACAGAACTCTTAGGCTTTCAATGATTATTGTTTCCAGTCCATACTCCTCACTATGGAGGGGAGGGAGAAGGCAAAGTGAGGGAGGAGAGGAAGGAGAAGGAAGCATCAAAATTGTCAGGTGGCTATTAAAGTTATACTTCATTTTATCAGGATAAAATAAAGGATTTGATGGTGTCATTCCTTCAAAAAATGCAAAAAAAAATTGACCTTTTAAAATAAAGATCTGATGACAGTATGCATTCCTATTATACACAATTTACTTAATGATTTTATTGCTTAGAGAGGAAGTTTGTTTACATATTAACATTAAAGGATGTCAAACACAATCTAGCCAGCAAGTCTAGATTTGGAACAACCATGGGCACAAGCTAAGAGAGTCTTTAGCAGCTACAATCATTGCCAAATATTCTAGTATAATATGATTCCTTATTATACATTCACATACACCACAGGACATTTAACATGCCCAAACTGTCCAGATCTATCCAGTAAATGGTGATGTGACACATAGATGTGACACAGAGATGTGACACATAGGGCCTATAACCCAGAGATCAGCCTCTTCCTGCTATATCCTAAGACACATTTCTACTTAATCTCACCCCTTTTCTACTGCTACTCTCCTATTCCTTTCTTTCCCCTCCTCCCACCACAAACAGGGAGAAGAATACTTCACTTATTTCAGCATTGTCTGGGTCAGAAGGCATGGCCCATGTGCATGTTCTTTTCACCAGCCAAATGTAAAAGATACAATTATATAAAATGCTAAAATGTACATTTGTCAAACAGCCAAAGTCCTAAGCACTGTTCAGAAGAGATAGGTGCTACCGTCCTCTTTCACTAATATCTGAAGAACCCCTATGGTGGTGGAATTGTTTTCCAGAATTCTCCAAGTCACAACCAAACAGAAAGCTCAATGGATTTGAGACAATTTAATAAGTTATCCAGAGAGATGAATCACTAAATCTTTTTTTGGGGGGACGATAAAAGCACAACTCCACAGTGTACATATAAGACTACAGATCTGCACCAATATAAGAAGGAAAATAGTCAAGAAAACCCAAGACAGCAACAAAACAAATCTAACACTTAATAACGTTGGATTGGTTTGAATAGTAGTTACACAGAAATGCAAAATGTTCCTCTGGCCACTTAAATATAGGTCAGAAACTGGGCATTTGCTCTTAAAGAATTTTCTTTATTACCAGAGCACATTAATCCAATCAAAATTAACCATTTAGATGAGATGATCTCTGAGGGGACTTTCAGCTCTAAATTCTATGGCTCTAATTGCATTAAAATAATTTTTGTTCAATGTATTACAGTCCAATCACAGTTACCAAACACAAATCAACATTCATTTGTGACATGTGATTGAACATTTCATCTCCAGTTACAATGTTGTTGTTGTTGTTTTTTAACCTAGTTGTGAACAAGTTTCTTGTGGCTTCTTTGATTCTTTCCAAAGCACTGACATTAATTTTAGTGATGGGTAGGGTATTCTAAGAGGTCAATTTATGGCCTTCAAAATCAATTTTCAACTTAAGGAAAGTAAATCTTGAAATCTTTAATCCAGTAAACTGCGTAGCCCCTGTTGAGAGAAAAAACTACCCCTCTTAAACATATTTATTTAATTTTGAGCGCAGTGGAGTGAATCAGATCTGAGAATCTGACAGGTACCTACCACTTTAAAAGCACAATGTAACTAAAGCATTTCTGGGCTAGAGAGACACCATACTAGCTTTTGTTCCCTGACAGTATGACTTAAAAGATCACTCATATTCATACAAGGAGGTAAAAAGCTTTTTATAATTAGTTATAGAGTGCTAAAGTGTTTATCAATGATAGCTATAATTTTTTGCCAGAAACAAACACTTAAAAATTCTCCCCCCCAAAATTATTCTGCTAGTTTATCAGCTGACATTCTGTCAATCCACTTTACATTAAATTATTTTTCTAAGCTACCTCTTCTGACTCAGTTCCTGCAGGACTCAAGTTTCATTTGTGAACCTACATGTAGATGAGTTGGGGGGGTGGAGTCGAATGAACTTTCCTAGGCCAGGTGAGGAACCTAGCAATCAAACAGGTCAATTAATATGTGACCAAGTTCCCAAGTCTTGGGAACTACTAATTCCATGGCCAATTTTAAAATGTCAGTAACACAAGAGGCCACTTCTTTAAGGCAAAAAGCAAGACTCTTTTCTACTTATATTCAGGTCTTTGTTAGACACTCCCCCTTCTCGTCTGTCTTCGCTAAAATTCAAACGCCCCCAAAACTTTAAAGGCATATCTAGGCAGTGCTTTGAATGCAGTAGAGGGTGGGAGAATACAATACAAAGGTACACAATTTCAGCACCATGGACAGAACACAACCCTCAGCCTGCTCAGGCCAAGTCAGTCCAACCCAGGACTCAGCACTGCTCAGAGATCGCACAACACATCTTTATCCCTCCTCTCCCCCAATACCCTGACCCTGGCACGTCCTTCTCCCTGGCTCGACCCCATTACCTGTCGTCGTTCTGGAATGATTGGTCTCCCAGTAGCAGGTCCCGGAAACGGTATCGAGGTGGCAAAGGGAGCACCTCGGAGTCCATGTCATTCATTTTGAGGGAGGAGATGTCCAGGAGGACCCCGCTCCGGCTGCCGCTGCTTTCTCCACCACTGCCCCCACCACTCGGCAGCCTGCACGCACAGACAGTGAACACTCCACTCAGAGAGGCTGAGACTTTATTACCAGCGCTCCAAGTCCTGACCCAGCTCGGCCCAACCCAGCTGTCCTTCCGTCTCCTGACTCCGGGTACTTCTCAGGCGGTGGTAGCCGTTTGCCCTCCTCCCCCTTCCTCTCTTTCATTTTCCCTCCCTCTTTCTCCCACCCCACCCCCTCCGCGCATTGCAGCGAACAGGGCTCTGGCCCCCAGTTCCGTGGTGGCGCTCCAAAACACAGGTCTCCCCGCCCCTTCTCCAACAGGGGAGCCAAGAAAGCTGAGAGAAGGATAGGAACCAGCCCTTTTCAGTCACATACACACCCCTCCCCTACCCCCACCCCAATCCCTAACGGAGATCATAGGGAACTCAACTCCTGGAGGGCATCTTCTTCATAGATCTGCTCCTCCCTTCCCTTCCCAGGCAGCTGGGGAGTGGACACAGACGTGTTTCCCTCCCTCGTGGCCGCCTTCTTTCCGAAGCGTGGAGTGAATTTGGGAAGCAAAAGAGATAGGAGTAGGGAGAGGAACTGGGAGCGGGAGGCGGGGGCGGGTACCGAGTGGGGAGGGAGCTTAGCCCTCCTGGTTCTCTGCTGGGTTGCTTCCGGCTCCTTGGCCGGTCACGGTAGGGAGATTGAGAGGAGGGGGAGAGAGAGAGAGAGAGAGAGAGAGAGAGAGAGAGAGAGAGAG